ATACGCACGAAGAACATCTTCATGTAGCGGACGTGCACACTTCCAGTCAGCGCTCGTGCTGTGGGAGGCACTAGGACGCGGATCACCGTTACTATATTGGCCGAGGATGTCATCGATGGACTCTGGGAGACCGTCCAAGGCCACGTCAAGTTCTTGTGGCATCGTTGGTGAGCATCTTTTGCATAGAGCTGGGCTATCCAGGAGTTTGGATGTTGAGGACGGTGATGGCCTGTTCACCTTTGGATTTCTCTGGTTAAAGTTAATATCAATCGAAGGATCTGCGTCCAGCGCTAGCATCCTGTTCTCCACCTCCTTCCAGCCATCATCAACTGGAGAGGGAGATGGGCGCTGGTTTTTCCCTCGGTCCCTCGTAGTTTCCGCACCAATGGCCTCGATGTACCCCCGGAATTCCGCGGCGAAACCGCCCCCTGCTTCACGTTGACCGGATAATTGCCGTGCTAATTGCGGCAGATCTACAGAGCATATAACAGGTCGGCGACGAGCAACACGCTTCATCCGCACCAATCCCCGACGTACGCCATCCGGAGGATCAACGTAAAGATTACCGTCCAGATAAGGTATCGATGAAACGAAGATATGGGGTCCTTCATCCGCAGTCATGGGATCCTTGGGAATATCGGGCTCCCTACGTAGGTCGTCCGTGTGATAAGATGAAGACATAGATGGAATATCGGGCGTGTTCGGTCCGTGACTGGTAGAAAGCAGGGTATCTGTGCACCGAGGCAAATTTGCCTTCCGAGCAAAGTCCATTTTCTGGAGCTTCGACCCTGCTTCCCCGAAGCAACTTTCTCGTCGCCCTACAGTGTCCTTCATACTGTTCAGTCTTAAGAACAACTGTGCAATGTTGTCAGACAGTCGTCTTTGAGACCTCAAACGGTACATACCGTTTTTGCCGTTCTAGGAGCATGGTGAGCACTGCTGGCATCAAGCATCAGCCAATCGTCGTCAGTGGTAGAGTTCTGGAGTTTGAAAAAGTAAGGTCGTGTGGTATTTACGGTGTTTGAGGAGAACGCTCAACGTTCAACAATGAAGTATTTGTCCAAGGGCAAGGGACCGTATTATGCTGAGTTAAATAGGATCCACAGCTCTATTGAACTCCTGTCTCAGAGCGATTTCAATGATGACTGGCCGTTGTGGCCTGTGACGCGGATTCGATGTTTTGCAATGTAACTTGAAGTACCACCCACTCCAATGTGCATGAAACTGCCTTCAGAACTGACCCGATCCAAGCGATCGCTTGACAGATTATAAGATGAGATCTCGGTTTTCCATGGTCAAGCGATTCGAGAATCGCGGTCATCGTGGTTCGAGTCTAAAACCTTTGGCTGTCGTCGCTTGTGCTTGCTCACGGTTTAGAACACCGACCGGCAACCTAGCTTCGCGGGATCGCTTGCACCTCCACTGGCAACTTTACAAAGGTCCAATTGCAAAGTCAAGAACTCAACTTTTTTTTCCCAGAGTGCCTACGAAAACCTAATATCTCCCCCCTCCCCCCCGAGAACATTCACGAATCAGCTGCAGGTCTACATCAGATTGCATGTGTACTTTGATCGCGACCACATAAACACTACCTATACCGTTCTACTCAGTCAGCAGACAAGTTAAAATTCTGGACGCTGGTATGCGTACTGCTGTGAAGATTCAGCAAGTTTCTGGATCCCTCAGTGCCAGTAAGCTCGGAATTGCAACTGCAGAGTACAATTACTGATCCTCGTCCTCAAACAGCCCTTGAATCGGCCCGTATTGGATGCCTAGACCTGATGCATAGATGCCCGCACTGTCTGGAAGACCTTCGACTAATCTATGCACTGCAATGCAGCATTGTTTTTATGTGACAGATCGACGTGGACACAACGTGCGTCGGGGACGGAAGGGTATCGAGGTATTTGCTAGTGGGTATCCAAGGATATTGCGCAGAACTAAGTATAGGAGACTGACCCTGCATACGAGGGATACGGCTGGCAGCCGTTCGGGCGTTGATGCGGAGGACGATAAGCAAGCTCCAATTTTGATCAGGGACAGTGTCTAAGAATGACACCAACTCAGTGGATAATTTTAGGTGTGCCCTATGGAAATAAATATGTTGGTTCTCTGCGCGAATGACCGCCGAGTGGCTTTCTTGTGTTGTCAAACTTTCCATCAAAGTTTTTCATATATTGCCATGCCCAAGGCCGGAGTCATTGCATGCAACCGTCTGGGATGCCCAGCCAAGATCATTCCGAGGGAAGAATATCACTCCTGCCAAATCGCCCCCATAAAGAGTGAGTACACATTCTCATGCACCACCGAGTGTCCGTCGTTTCCCCCTCACAATGGACATTTTGCTGTTTGCTCCTCGCCAACCTCGAGCTGTGGCGCTGATCCGAGTCATTATTGAGAGCTGGGCTCACACCGACCGGCTCACCTAGACGCCATGACTCCATGACGTCGGAGCAAAGTGTGCTGATCCCGACTAGGCTGGTGAGTCACAGCGGCGCAGCCTGAAGTTCGCGTTGCGCTACCCAACTGACTTGCCCTCGTATGTGGGTCATGGCCGCGCTGGATACGAGGGAAGATGCTCCCTGCACCCATATCTAGTCGCAATAATGAACGCATTTCCGAGACCGTATGGTTTCAAAATGCAATGATGCACACAGGCTCGATGGGCCCATGAGTTTGTAGGGGTGTTCATCCATCGCATGGTCAAGATCTGAGCGCACATCAGAGTATTTGTAGGTGTGCAAACCCCAAAAGCTTGACGCCTGCTGACGCTGCAGAACAAAGCAGAAGCCTGTGTCGCGATTCCGTGCGGCTTTGGTTCCAGCAGTCGCGAACCTCCAGCTGGCTTGAAAGCTTGAAGGCTGGTACACGTTCAGTGGAAAAACTTTGGCGATAACTCAGACCGAGGATGGGAAGACCTTTGCGTTGCATTGTTCGAACAGATCGTTCTGTAATCGACTGTCTATACAGTGGAAACCATATAGTGAAAACTTCATTCGTAGTATTGCATTGGGTGAGCGGCGATGTATAGGTGTATCGGGTAGTAATGGTTGGGAGGGAAGAAAAGCCAAACAAGAAATGGGATAGCAAGTGGAACGACAGACGGAGCAAATGGGTACAGAGATGACTGGTACACACAACAACCGAAAAACTTGTTAGCTGGAGGGTCGGAGACCTATTATTGATGTATCTCTATAGTGGTATTGAAGGGCGAGGACCTCGGCTAGAGTTTGGTCGAGATCCAGAGCTGAAGAGGGACGCAAGATAATCAGTGGGGCAATACAACGGCCACAACGGATGAATTCTTACGCCTGGCTGGAGTGAGTTGAACGCCATCCCCACACTTCACGGATCCACCTTGCCATAGGTACCTCTTTTTTCATGACGCTGACGATCCACGGATGCGTCAACATCTCTTCGGGAGTGGGACGGAGTGTGTGCTCCACGATCAAGCTAAAGAAGAAACACGTCACTTAAGCGAGCGCGATAAAGAATATCAAATAGCGGCCGTACGTTTTCCTTATGAAGTCTTTCATTTCCTCAGGCCACCTCATATCAGCTTCGTCACTCAGCTTGGGGGGCTGATGGGGAAGAAATAAGAAAGCTAGAGAGCTAAACGAGTCATGGTTTCATACCTCTCCTTGGGTAATGTAGACCAGTAGCTCGATTGTCGTCAAGTCATCGGGGAACGGGTAGTGGTTCTGCACGAGTTCCAGAAGTGTAATTCCGGTGGACCACACATCGGCCCGAATGCTGTACTCTTTTCCGCTGATACGCTCAGGCTGCGTCACACTTCGTCAGCAGAAAGAACATCCAAGTAGCGCTGTCAACTTACAGCCATGTAAAAGCTGGTGCCCGTAAATGTTCCAGCCATGGACTTGACAAGCTCGCCGGAGACCCCAAAATCACAGAGCCGAACAACACCCTCCCCTGTCAGGAGAATGTTGGAGGGTTTAATATCCCTGTGAATCGTTTTGAGAGTGTGGAGGTACGCGAGACCTTGAAGCACCTGTATTGAAAGTCAACAAAGAACAAGCAACGAGACCTTGAAGGTGATACCTACCCCTTCGGCTAGACGACCTGCGACACTTTCGCCAATGCGCCCACCTCGTTCTTTGATGCGTTTTCCGACAGCTTCTAAGCTGCCCCCAGCGCCATACTCCATGATGACCTTGACCTCGCTAGAGGACGGCGACATATAGGCACCATAGAACTGAATGATATTGATATGTTTCGAATTTGAGGAGATGGAGAGTTCACGCTCGAGCTGTTTGAGTGGTGCTTCGCGTGTGGTGATCGTCTTCCGCGCAAAGATTCTGCCCGTTCGAATTTCTCTAACTTTATGAACGGCACCACCTTGTCCTTCACCTAATCTAGACAGTTCTTCCAGAAGACTGTCAGACCACTTCTCAAGCCCTCCAAGGGTCGATGTCTCCTCGGTTGGGGTGTAGGACTCAACCGTAACTTTGTCAAAAACGGCGACGAGCTGTTCGATGCTACTGTCACTTGTTTCGCTTCGTTCAGCTGGACGAGCTGTTTGGAGCTGTACATCGGAAGGACGGACGGTAGCGCCTCCAGGGTTCTCCCCATCTAGCCCAGGTGGAATTAAAGCTGGCCCCGAATAGTATTCGCTAACACCCCCAAAACCCCCTGCTATGGGTAGCTGGAGCCTTGGCCTAGAACCGTTTGCTCTGGGCATGGACAACCCAGGAAGTTGCGGACGCGATGGGGTTGGTGATGATGAGAGTTGTGAGACTGATGCGGGCGATGGTGGGCGCAGTGATGATTGATCTACAGAGAGCTTGCGAATTTGGAGCGGGAGGGTTCCAGTTAACAATGGGGATTGTGAACGGGGAAGGGTCCTTGGACCGGCAGGACGAGAATGAGATGGTTGCATGGTGAAAGTCAAGTCTGTCGCTGAAATCAACGCGTCGGTAAAGGGCTCTAGGTTTTCCCCTCATCATAGGTGCATGCATGTCATTGGTCTAGCATGTGTATACGGCAGTGTAGCCAAGTGGTTACGGCGTCACGTTTAGGTCTAGTACTCAATCCGTGATGGGTTTCCCGCGCGAGTTCGAATCTCGTCACTGTCATCTTTTTCGCCATTGTGCGAAGTGTGGGCGTGGGCGCTGGCCTTCGCGGCGTGTGAGATCATTTCATTCCGCGGTATGTGGAACCCGTCCACAACCCACCCCCACCAATTGTAGATATAACTACGAGCCCATCTCGTCCCACATTTGTCCCACTGCCCAATGCCGAGGTCAACCACATCGAGTTCCGAACTCAGTTCCTTGGACACCAGCTCAAGCACTGGTACTCCCCCACTGACGCCTTCACCGACAATGCCACGACGGCGACCCATCCCATTACGCTTGAATAGCATCGGCGTCGACCCGTCAGTGCTAGTTGGTAAAGTCCTGACGAGAATAAGTCGCTCGTCCAAACACCCTAGCATGCAATTTCATTTCTCTGATGACACCACATATCAAATTCTGGTGGATGGTTATGACCCAATACATCGGTAAGTCAGAGGCTCTAGGCTATATCCCACCGCATCCGACCACTCATAGTGATCAATACCAGTGGTCTACCCAAAGAACTCGAGATGGACCCCTCTTTCGGATCACTCCTAGATGCTGCAGATGGTGAACTTGACGTTGACCTCACAATCGACGACTGCGCTCTCATCACGTTGACCGATAAAGCCTTCGAGTCAAGGGAAAGAGAGCAGCGGTGGGACCAGAATCACATCGCAGTCGCGCTCAAGTTCAGCCAAGATCGAGCCTGGCGCTGTGTCTGGGCGACACTAACCGACCACGAAAACGGTTACTGCGTCTTTCGCAGCTACGACGACGTATACCTCGAACAACTGCAGCGCTCACCCCGCAAACGTCGTCCCCGCGCCCCCTCCTCGCCGACAAAGTCACGGTGAGATAAGAGCTGTAATACTAACTGAAAGGATGTAGGGTCGAATCTCCACGAAGTGTACCTACAATCATTTGCTATCGATTCACGCTGTCTTATCCATATGTATGCACAATGTTTTGATTAGCACACGACTCGTCATTGAATATTTTGATTATCTACATCATCACACCAGCCCTATCGCCACGTTTTTTGTACTTATCATTCGCAGATTACTTTGTTGGTTCATTCATTCCTTGTACAAATACCTTGACTCAGTATGGAGCTCCAGCGATTCAGATTCAACGATACACTGGCAAGATGGGTATGAATGATCATCATCTGTCACTCGCTCACAGCCCATCAAATCTGTGATTATCCATTGAGGGATTGCCAAGTCACACTAGGCTCGAAAGACTAATGACAGTAGAAGGTATCACGAAGGTCCATCTCATCGCCTCGCCAGATGGGAAGCACTTTCACAGCGCTTGGTAGAGATCTGACCAGTGTCTACGTGATTCACGATAAAACATGTGAAATTCGAACCTCACCGGAAGAATCCAAGTACAGGCTCTTTGGCTAGTTGAGCCTATCTAAAATAGCGTCATCGATCCTCACTCCGGCGAGGTCGGGTCAGCTTCTAGCCCTTCGACACCGCTCCCACAACACAATCAAGCACAGATCTGAACTGTGCAGTTCACCTCGATGCACCAGATTCTGCAGCAAGAGGGCCTAGAGTTCCGAGTCCCCTGAACGTATAAGGATAGGCAACAAAAGAGTAGACAACTCCACATCTGACAGCCTGCCAAAATCGAAACTGTCACTCACATTGGACGCCTCGGGCTTGGAGTCGAGCACCCTAAAAGAGATCATGTGCTTGCCATCGCACAGCCAGATCAGTGGAAACTGTGAGGCTGTGGTGTCCAATGGTGTGCCACAAAGCGGGTAAAGAATCATGAAGATAACCAAGAGATGGGCAAAAATATACGAGGACTAGTATGGTTGTCCGGCGAATGAGAAAAACTGCGGGTAGCCGATTTCCCGTCATCAAGAGACCAGAATATAATCGTGACAAGTGCGCCGCACCATGATGTTGACCAGGTACGTCAAACAATGGGTGTCGGGTTGCCTATCGGAGCATTAGATCCCGCTTGGCCGGCGTACCGTTAGGAATCCCGGCTGTCACATGCAGAGAAAATGAAAAAGTGAGCGCAACACGGGGTTTCGCATACACCGATAGGCTATAATGGATGAGAAAATATGCAAGGTAATGACCTGTATTTCATTGGTGAGGTTGCAGTGGTACATAGCTGCAGTTGAGCACACTTTGAACTTATCAAGAAAGGCGCACCACAGGGAGTTATATATATGCGGTTTGCACCGACCGGTGTGATTTTTTGAATAATACTATAACGGATACTTACTGAGACGGAGCTCCATGACGACGAGATAAATATGGCCTAAGGTGGCTAGGTTTCGTCGGGTTCGTTATCGCAGAAGAGTAAATCAGGTGTACGTAGGGTCTTCTTTCACTTTGGGAACTACGAGGGGGATACCTGGGTGCTGTCAAACCCTGATAGGTTTGCGAAGCTAGGGAATCAGGAGAGCCTAGTGGCCTATGTTAAGCCCTGTCAGGTTGCATGCATCAGCTGTTCCATACTTAGGGAAGTTGGAGAGTACGAATCAACCAGATGGCCACACCATTGATGTTCGTCTTCCTCGCGCTGTCCATGAAACAACTTGAATGTGAATAGTGATCCTATAGCACTTCATAATGTTCCGAAAGGGGAATATTCCCACGGACTAATTCCGTTGTTGTTCGCCACAGCATTGCAATGGGTCGTGCCATTGCACACTTTGGTGTTTCATGGAGAACCCACCTACTCTAGCACCGGCACCGCGCGTGTCCTTCGCGTCTCTAACTCACCAGAATATCGGGACAGTTCAAAAGCTAAATTCTGTCCTCTTTCCCATCAAATACAGCGAAAAGTACTATAAGGACATTCAGGAATCTGAGGTTGAAGCTTTCTGCCAACTCGGTCCGTCCGTTCGATGAAATGATGTCTTGGACTACCGTATTTCTTACCTTGCAAGGAACTCTCGATCAGTTTACTACAACGATGTTCCCGTCGGCAATATCTGTTGCAGGCTCGAGAACAAAGAGCTGTATCTAACAACATTGGGAATCCTCGCTGTAAGTCGTGTCTGCCCCCCATTATCCATCACATGGCTGATACCACCTCCCAAAGCCCTACCGCTCCCGAAAGTTGGGTTCCCAAGCCCTTGACCGTATCATTCAAGCCGCGTCCTCCCATACCAAGTCCAAGATCAAGCGTATATTCCTCCATGTACAGATCTCTAATGTGGAAGCAAAGAGATTCTATGAGCGCCACGGCTTCAAAGAAACGGGCATCAAAAAGGACTACTACAAGAAGATCACGCCCCGAGATGCATGGATATTGGAGAAAATCATTGAACATGCCCCTGAACAATAGTCGTATAGTTCTAGTGACCTATCATACATGACAATTGATCAAGTTCAAAGCATCCATCTTCAGTATGTGATATAAGTCAGATATGAAAAAATAAATGTGCTCATAATTTACAGTGAAAAAATATGCGAGGTGAACATGGCACATGGCCGTCAATGAAAGACCCCAGCGATCAGCACGAGATTAATATGTGATACTAATGAATAATAGTCCACGAACATGGAACTGGTCCAAGGGGCCGATCGTCAGTCACATAGATGGCTTATCGCTGGGGGACTGACATGCTCGTCAAGAGGCCGATTATGACCTCTTTGGTGGTTATCATACATCCTCCTCATGACCGCAATGCTTAACGAGCTGGAAGGTGGTGAGTAACAAGTCATAAGACGGGCGTTAGGACCTGCCTGGTGTCGTTTCAGTGCATCTTTGCGGGTGAACGTCTTCCCACATCCCCCATTGCACAAGAACGGCTTCTCCCCTGAATGGGTCTCTCTGTGGCGTTTCAGATCGTGCTGTCTATTGAAAGACAATGCACATAGGTCGCAGGAGAAAGGTCGTGAGGGGGATGCTGGGTATTGTGATGGTTGATACTGGGAGTCACCACGCCCAAAATATGAGGATGTCTGCTGAGGGCTGTGTTGGTGCTGGGTGAGATGATGGGGTGGATATTGGTGTGATGGTACGGAGTAGTGAGGGACGGTGTTCGAAGGTTGGCTATGATGGTCTGGAGGGTAGGATTGCCGGGGTTGGTGGTACGAACTTGGCGACGTGCCTGGTACGTATTGGTTGGACACTGGAGGCGGAAAGCTTCCAGTGTAATCGTTCATTCCGTATTGAACTGCTGAGGAATGACCTGATGTCATATTGTGTGCTGCGTGCCCCATGGTTGGATAGGTGTTTGGTAGCGCATGGTAGGAACTGGACTGTGCAGGATAGCGAGGGGACTGGGGGCTGCTAGTTGTCCACTGGCCGGTTCGGCCAGGGTCCCCTGCAGGGAATGGATATCCGCGCCGATCGGTCATGGTAGATGATGGAGGTGGGGGCCAAAAGTGCGGTGCGAGGCGCTCGACGTGTGTTGGGGTTCATAAGGATTTCCGGGGCCGTTGGAGCCTCATATAAGCAGAGAATTGGACGGCAAGGCGCTCACAGGGTGAAGTCAGCATTGGTCGTAACTGGTTGGCTAGATCTTGTCTGAGGTTGCCTGATCGGGTTGATGTCTGCAATGTGCCTGATAACTGTAACTGACCTGGGGTTGTGTTCAGTGCGCAACAGATAGGCTGACGACCCTGACAGTATGTATTTCTGAACTGGTTGTCTAACCAAAGTAAGCGGTTGGGTCTCCCCGGATGATGTCTCTGTTCAACTCGTTGGGATATCCTCATGATCAGTCAGGAACAACGCTCCCCCCATTCCAGGTAAGGTTCACCTTCACAGAGTCCCAGTCAAGATCGTGGCAATGCTTGTACTACCTCCTGACCAATGGCAATCACCTCAGTGTGTTGACAGATTGAAGCCGGTGTCCAGGGTAAGTATCCCCTCTTGATTATTCCGTACTGATTTGGCTTCACTCACTGATGCGCCAGTGGGTGTCCTTGTTGGCATAGCCTCCCGGTATGATCGAACTTTTTCATTTTTTCCCAAGCTGTTCAAGTCCCGGACCGACAATTTGGACCCACTCAGCACTATGCGCGATGTTG